TCGAATGGTACAGTGATATTTTAGATTTTTTTTTTTCATTTTGCTTATGGATTATGGTGTTGATTTTGATTTAGAAGGGTATACAGCCATAGAATGGTATATTGATATTTACATGTATATAAAAAAACGAAATCTTGGAGATAACTCTTCAGGATGTCTTTACATATAATGAATGACATCTTTAAAATAAATCAAGTATCTTTGTTTACATTTTAAATCAAACACAAGTACTGAAATCGGACAACATGACAAATTTTGATTTAATAAATTTTTAAAGTTAAGGGTTCCTATCTCTATCACAGACAATTATGACATTTAAAAAAATGTGTTTTTTATCAGATAATTAATTTTTTGCCTTTAAAAAAAGATAACAGGTTAATTATGCATGATTTTTTTAAAAATTGTTTAGACCATTGAATATTTATACAAAAGGTCAAGGACATAGGAAATGCATCAGAATCATCACAGCATGGCAACCGTAACTTGGTTATTGCAAACCATGGCAGTAAGTTTCAGACCAGCCAGGCCAAGGCAAGGGAGTCGGCACAGGCTAAGTTTCAGACAGAAATAAAGGCCAACCAGGCTGGAAAACCAAATAGCGCCTCTGTTTCGGACCAGGTTAAAAAACAAGGCATAAGTGAAACTAAAACAACTGGGAAATTAAAAGATGCAAAAGGAGACGAAAACTTAGGCAAAAGCATTAAAGGGAAGTCGGTTCCGGACAAGCCCATAGCTGGAGTAAGCACAGCTGCTATGAATGGAACCATGGATCATAAAAATGGAACCATGGATCATGAAGACATGGAAGATATTGATGACTTAAGTTATGACCATGGCAATGAATCTGACTTCAGTGATGAACAGGGTCATGGCCATATGGTACACAATGACCTTGACAGTGAAGGTCATGATGAAGGTCACCATGAGATAGAGGCTGCAAGTGGAGCAAGAAGCGGGACTGAGCAGCCTGCTAGGAGTAATGCTAGAACCAAAACTTCTGTCTCCATGGTATTTTGAAATATGTAACAAAATGTGTTCTTAATCTGAATTCTAACCAGAAATGAAAACGAATGTAACTAACAGTGTTTTTTGGGAAGCAACCCTTTGGAGGGTGGGGTGGTGATGTATTATTTTATTTCATTTCTCATAAGGGCAGAAATAATATCAGGTGATTATAAAGTCCTTGCTTGCATTTTGATTTAATATATTAAGTCCTGACTACCTCTGTTAGTGAATTAGTTAAAAACATGTTTATTTACAAATGATCTAAGTGATTTACATACACAATTATTGACATTCTTGAAGACAGGATCACTGTTCTGGCACAAAGTCTAGAAAATGTTGTATTCATCTACCCAGTTTAATTTTTTTTTACCCTGGTGAGCTAGTAAACTAACTTGGCCTAATTTGTGGAATAGATTTTGCCTTCCTTTGAACAGATTATTCAAAGTTTAAGGGATTTCAGTCGCAATAAACAAAAGAAATTGAGATACAAACAGTCTAGAGCCTGGTCAGACATAACAAAAGTGCCAGCTGGTCTTGTTCTACACAAAAGGCATAGGCTGAACAATTTTGGTTCCAGCAGGTTTAAATTTTAGGGCTTTCAATATATAAATGCTAAAATTTAAGAAACAGCTGCAGGAAGTCAGCTTACTGGTCTAGTAAATATTTTGTAGCGTGTAACACAATAAAATGTGCCTGAGTATTTTGTACGGGTCACGTGACATCAAAACTGAAACCATGGATCGAGATTGCGATAAACATCTGTAGCTGGCCTCTTGTGACGGCACTGGCTCCCAAAGTGGGACATGTCAAAACATGTTAATTCGTACATGATAATCTGCAGTCAGGTCTTGTTTTTCAATTCTGGGAGTTACTTTAAGTCTACTAATTTCAATTTTAGCATTTTGTCGTATCAAACTTGTGCTTGTGATAAGAATATAGCTAATTTCAAACTAATGATAAGTGTTATAGATAAATATTTCTACAAAGGGCCATCCAGTAAAAGTGTTTGTTTGTTTTTGTTGCTGGGGTTGGGGTAGAGGCTCTGGGATTTCTTAAGTAATTTTCTGAATACAATTATATGTTTTATTAATGGAGGTGGGAATAAAAAAAGAATAAAAAATGCCAATTTTAGTCAAATTGTTTCAGAGAATTTTGAATAACTCTGCCTCAAAAGTTGAAACAAACAATTTCATATGGATGGCCTGATGTTTTCTGTATATTGTTTTGTTTGTTTTTATTGATTTTTATGTCTAACATTTCTTACAAAGATGTGTAGATGATATTGCTTATTTTTGTTTTATTAAACAAGGCTTCTGGGATTTGCTGTTATATTTTTTATGTGGATTTTGATGTTATTTGTTATCATTATTAACTTTACTAGTCATGTATATAATAATTGTTGTTTTAGTAATTCCTTTGTAATAGATTTTTTATAATTAATTTAATTTAATATTTTAGCTAAATTTATTGTATTATGATACTGAAATTTTCATTTTTAATTATATCAAATTAGATTAAAAATATATTTAATTGAAAACATAATTCAAGAACATATTTTTTGAAAATTATATTAGTGAATTTACTCATATGGTAATGGTATTGATACATTATACATATATATCCAATGTTTTTAACCATATCTTTTTTACATAATCATACAATATACATGTATATGGGGATCTTATAGGTAAACTTACAATGTATCCGATGTTTTTACCTAGTTCCTCCTTACACTTTTTCAACTGTTGATATATATATCTAACAAAGATTAGGCATCCTTGGCCAAGTGGTTGAGGTCATTGACTTTAAACCACTTGCTCCTCACCGCTGTGGGTTCGAATCCCTCCAGGGACTTTAGAATCTTTCATATGAGAAAGCTATCCACCTTGCTTACAGAACGTCAGTGGTTCTCTTCTGATGCTGGTTCATGCCTGAAATAATGCAAGAAGGTGCACCCGAGGTCTTTTTCCACCAGTATAGCTGGAAAATTTGCTATGATTAAATGATGACCTTTACAGTGTTTTGTGCAATAAACACGACCCCCCCCCCCCCCCCCCCAAAAAAAAAAAAAAAATTCTTTTCAAAGAATAGAAAAATATAGCATATTATTCATAATTATGTTGAATTATTAAAATTAAACCATTCAAATTTATTCATTGTTAAAAATGTTGAGATCTTAATCAAATATCTAGTATAATATGATAATTTTGTTATCTTGGTATCTAATTTTTTTTAGCCCAGTTTACGAAAGTTTGTCTGCCGGTATACTTTATTTATGAATATAAAAATCCATGCCACTTGGTCCAGTTTGTTTAAATTTTCTCCCATGTCTTTTCCTGCTTAGATATAATGAAATTAGACCAGGTTTTCTGACAGAGCTCTTGAGATGAAAATTATAACAATCTCGAAAAGAGATCCTCATTGAGATTCTCATCGCAGACCTACTTAGATTTTATAATTCAAGTGTATGATTAATATTTACATTTGCACTGATATGTCAACAGATTTTGACAGTTATCTACCATTATTTATTGTGCATTTTTTAGCTGCATGGTCACGTTAAAGGATTATAATTTTGGCGGAAACAGTTTCTCATGTTTTTTATTTGAGTTGCATCAGCGTGTTTTGTTGTTTTTCTTACATTTCAAAACAAAATATTATATACAGACCTTTGAAATTTACTTGTGAAAAATAACAATCACTTGACACAATATTTAACCGGTCTGATTCTCATTTTATCTTTCCATAATTCATAAAACTTTATGAGGTCTGTTACTATTTTGAAAACGTGTTGTCAGATGTTAATTTTTTTTTTTACTAAAATCTTGTCTACATGTAAAAAATCAAGCATTATAGGAATGATGGTAAAAAATAAAAAAATGTCCCGTAATATTTTAGTCTTCAAAAGAATTCATTTTATAAATTTTAATGTAATGAAGAGAGTAATAAATATTTTCTTAAACTACTTGTTACTAATTTAGTAAACACCACAAGGAAGGTGCTTGTTTAGAAATCGATCTATTTTAATCATTTAAAAAGAGTTGAAGTGACCGAAATGGGCAAATATTTACTTTTTAACTCCAGTTTGTATCGCAAACAAATTTATACTGGACAGATATGACGATATAGTTTACAATTTTTAAGTCAGTTTTTGTAAATAAACCATTGCATATATATTTAGACCAAAGTTAAGAGATTATGGCGGGCTTTTGAATCTCGGGCCATAATCGACTGTGTCAAGTGCTCGTATAATAATCATCATTGATTTGTATCGTGAAGTCTATAAAACTGACCTTAAAATTTTAACCCTCGGTCCATTTTGTTTAGCAATGATTTAATCGTTCTCCCGTAAGGTTTTAAATTTTGTTTGGTCGTGCTTATGAATTTCAACTATCTGATGTAACTTGGGTAAATTTATAATATTATAAATACATGTATCAACAAAAATCAAAATTCAAGACAAGCATTTACAGTTTAGAGTCTAGGCAGACGGCAAGGAAAAGATGAGGCTTGCCTAGCACTGGTGACCCTGGCAGGTCAATGATACAATAAGTATTTAGGAAGTAAAAGTTTCAAAGACTGACAAGTTAGATACAAAATTAGTTTTGATGTTTTGAGTATATAGAAAACATTTTCAGTATTCATATATCTATAGTTTTATTATTATCCAATCACTTCTCAAGTTTCTTTCTAAATTTTTTATATCAGACCCCAACCTGTATTTAACATAGAATGTTAAAATACAATTCAACACACTGCAAAATTAAGTTAGCACTCGCTTAAAGTACATAAATTTGCAAACGTAAATTTAGTTTTAAATTTAGACTTGTCCAAATCTCACTTCCGACCATAACGTAAGAGAAGTAGTACTTGTGCAAAATAAACATTGATGCCTTGTATAAGATCTTTACATTGTGTATTTGCGCAATAATTTAAAAATACATGACTCTCATTTATATATGTGCTTGTAAACATCATCAAATTTTGTGTTACAGAAAGATGACGATATTGTTTTTGAGACGTTTTATCACCGGAGCGGGAAAGAGTTCCAATGTATCTATCAGAGTGGAATGCGATTCTACCTCGATGATTGGGGATCCAAGGTTTGTGTTTATATTTTTATATTTTTACACTTTTTATTATGCCCCCTTTGTAGAAGGGAGGGTATATTGCTTTGCTGCTGTCTGTCCGTCTATCAACAGTTTCTGTGCATTAAGACTGTTTCACAAACATCTCTTGTTTAAGATGATCTACTCGGGTTAAGATGTGTCTGCCTTTCGAAACGAGGTCATGGGTTTGAGATCATCCTATATCTAAACCATGTTAAATCCTCATATAACACCAAGTACTGGTTCCGTTCCAAGAAGGGAACTTATTGGGTTGTTCGGATGAACCTGTAAGGTCTTAGCCTTCATTACAATCAAATCAAGCTTAAATGAATATGTTTAAACTTATCCTTCACTTTGTTTTTAAAATCATGTGTTTTTATGTCTTTAAGAACCGATAACTTTTGTAATTGATTTATTCTGCTTTGAGTATGAAACAGTCTATTCAAAGTTTATGGGATTTCAATAAAAAAATATTAAAAATAAAGCTACCATAACTGTAAAGAGACTGTTCAGACATTTTTAAGGCATTGTACAAAAAGTGACCAAAAAAATGAAATTGATGTTATACAAGTGTGTTATTCTGATGGATTGCTTTTGTTGGTTGCGTAAAAGATGTATTTATTGCCATTACATCACTTCAGCCATATATCCCGTCCAAATGCCACACTCGTGTGATAATCCCATATACATGTACATGTATTTATGGATAATGCAAGAATATGCGTGAATGATAAAACATTTTATGGCCTCTTCATATTTTAATGTCCCTTTTAAAATGATTCATAAATCTTTTATTACAGTGACAGGATATTCACCTAAAATTTTATATACTTTACTTTTTTTAACATGACCGGGCTCTTTTGGGTAGATTAGCATATTTGAGGTAATTTAGCTGTTTAAATTGATCAATGAATTCCTACAGAAAGTGTTTTAAATGCTACATGTATACCATACCTATATTTGCCCTAGTCCAATTACAATATTTGAATTATTGTATAAATTATTGAACGCTATACCGCGACCCAGTTCAAGTGGGGCAGGCAGCTTAATATATAACCGTCAGAGAAAATTGGGCTAATGTTGACCTTTTACCAAATATATGTTCATACTGAAATATTAAACTGTGTAGCGATTGTTAGCCTATAACCCGAAACAAGATCTGTCTTAAAGAAAAAAAAAGTAAGATTAATTCATCGAAGGTATAATCGGTGACATTATGACCACAAATCATAATTGTCTCGGTTTTTCACACATTATGTGCGGTTGTTCTGTAAAGGGTGGAAAACTAGTTGTTCAATACAAATAGAAGTATTAAGTCAGTGACTTCTGAAGACTTCCCTGAATATTTCAAATTGTTGTGTTGCAAAACAATTTATACTGTAGTGTACACATGTTCATATATAATATATCAGTTTTGTTTTGAAAAAGTAAGAATTTATAGGCTTTAACAATTAGAGTAATTGAAGTTTTATCCCGACAGCCCACTTACTCCTGAAATGAAGCATAGAAATGTTTGAGATCAGTAGGTTTGTCATAAGACCTTAATGAATCTATCAATGTTTTGGTCCTGAAAGGGTTGAATTTACATTTTTCATGTTTAACAGTCTAAACTCCCACCCTGAGGCATTTGCCCGTACTCAAAGGCAATGGCAATTTTGCAAAAACTTTGAGTCAGTGATTTTTGTCTGGGGATTGGATTTAATGATTTTTTTTTAAATGCTCAAATGGACAAAACCATTCATCATTTCATTTATGAGAAAAATTTCAAAATTTTACTAATTGAATAGCGATGTGCTGCCTGATCGTGGTCAGCACGGGTCACACATGTATACACATTTACCACCAGCAGGCTTAAGGTTAATGAACACAACCAATCTGTATTTTAGATTAAATGTTGCCTGCATCTTCCTCTTAACACCAAATTTGGGGAAAATATTGATAAATGAATATGTTCAGGGATCTTTCATAAGCACCAACATACCGTACCCTCTGACCTCATTTTCATTGATTGTGGAACATCCTGTCCCAACAAGTTGTCAGTTATATGTTTCTATGTACTGTAATGTCATTTCTAATTGTTACTTTATGCAGTGTTGTTTTTACCATTTCAGGAATGGCAACCGTTCCCTAAGCGTTGGTACAATGAAGGTTTACTAGTGACAAACACTATACTTAAAGATGAGAATGCTGTGAGTTTGAAGCCAATTTTTATATATATTTTTATGAATACTGGTACTTCTGTTTCATTGGTTATCAAGATTGTTCTTAGGCAGTCTCTTCATTCTTTACCTGGCAGCCCCTCTGGCCAATTAAAGTACAAAAAGATGAGTCAAATATTTACCTTTCACATGTCCTGGCTCTGCCTGGTCAATATGCTGGTTTTTGATTTGGCACCAAAATGGCGAGGAATATTACCAACAGTTAAAGGGTCATTATGTGGGTATTTCACAATCTGACTATCCTTGCAGAGCATAGCTTTACAGGAGAATTGATAGCCCAAAAGTTCTTTTTCCCAGGATCCCCATGTGATCGAGGGGTTGCCTTTAAGTGTTGAGGTATCAGAATTGCAGCCACCGTTTATGAAATTATTTGTTTGTGTTCATAACAGTTGACTATTATGCTTTCAAATTACTGGAGTCTATGCATGTCTCAGCTCCAGCAAGTGAGGTGGTTTTAACCCTTGGTGTTGCTCAAGTTTCTGTTTTGGCACTATATGACCTAAATTGGTTGGAGTTCTGTAAACCCAAACAAACATACAATTTCCCAGGATGGAGAGTGTGTCAAGTGGCACACATAAGCAAATTTGGTGCCAGGTTTTAGTTATACTGTTCCCTATGAGTTCTCGAGCTTAGACCCTTTAGTGGCTTATCTAAAACTGGTTCATCACATTCCTCTGAGAGTGTAGAACCGTGTTTTCACCCATGACAAGATATTTTCATACTTTCACATTCTGTGGGATGTGATATTTATATATTGTTACTTTAATGAATATTTGTTTACAAAACTGTCCTTGAATACAATTTAAAAGTGCTTTTCGTGACCTAAACCATAACTACCGGTATTCAATTCATTCACCTGTGCTACATGTACTGAAAAAATTGACAACATTGTATGTAGAATGCTTTGATTGAATCGTTAACAGACTTACTTAATTATCTCGTTATATGTATCGCCAATGCAATAAATGGATTGTACAATATTAATGAGAATTTAATATCAGAAATAACAGTACATTACTGAAGTTATTGACGTCATCAATGCTATACATTGTAGCATGGATATGCCCATTAGTTTTAATTATTGGGACAGTTTGATCACATAGAGGAAGATATGAATATAAATGAATAATTAATCAATTTCCGGAATTTCATGTTTCAGATCATTTCAGTATTGCTATAAAGGGGCTTTATTTGTTTCTTGTCTGCGATGACAACAATGAATTTTAGTTCTGGCAGAGTAAGTTCAGATAAATGATAAGGCTTTAGGATTATCAGCATTACTTTATAAACATCAAAACAAATGAGACTGATTGTAACATGGGTCTCCAATAATGAAGCACTCTGTTGATCAGGACCACTGTAAGTTAGGGATTCTATTAACCAGGGTCTCTAAAAAACAAGGAACCTTATTGACCAGGAACCCTTTAAATTGGGGAACTCTATTAATATTTAAGATGACCCCAGTCAAAAAAAGGAACACTTTTAACAAGACCCCTACAGGAGATACTCGGTTAACCAGGGCACCTATAAACAAGGCACTCTATTTACTAGGACCTCTATAATGAAGGGCTCTTATTAACTAGAGTCCCATAAACAAAGGACATCGTTAGCTGGCATCCCATGAATCATAGCTCATTATGTATAAACAAAGTAGATTTCTGCTTCTAAATGTAGGAAACCAGTTTTGCCATTTTACAATTTAAACTAATAAATTTTTCCTTAGTTATCAGTTGTGATATAATATACATGTATTAGGACCTTTTTATGCTCACTGAAATTTTTGGCAGCATAATGTTGCGGCCTTGTCCTTCCATAGTTCCCTTATTCCACAGCACTCTCCTACAGTTTCACCTAGCATCTTCATTTATTGATTGGTATCCTTCATATTTGGTAGGTACATTGTAACCTTTTATGGTTCCAAAACTTTTGCTGGAGAGTTTAGGACATTTTTATATTAAAAATTATTTGTATAAGCTTTCTATAGTAGAAATGTTACGACGGTATTGAAGATTAAGGAATAGTTGATTAGAAAGAGGATATCTTTGTGTTGCAGGAGAATAATGCTAGAAATGAACAAGCTGCTGGAGCATCTGGTCAAGGTCAGTCATCAAGGTCACAAGGTCGTGGTCAAGGTCAGAGCGGAGGTGGTGGCGGAGGTGACGACAGAGAGGGTTTTCTTATGCATCCAACGAAAGGCAGAATACCAACTTATATATTTTATGTAAGTACTAAGAGGCTATATTTTCTTAAAATTTATGTAAGAAAAAGCTGTAAACATGTATATAAAAGGTCCAAGAAAGGATTTGTTTGTTTAAAGCTTAACTATGATTAGTAACTGTTAGTATGTCCTTTTGAAATTTAACACATTAAGTATATTAAATCATCAGAGAAATCAACCTTTATCTATTTATCTTTAGTAAATAATTAATGCTATAATTTGAAAAAGCCTCCATTAAAACACAGAAAAAGGAATCTTTGAAGAACAGCCAAAATGGCAAAATTGAAAATGTTGCATGCTCGGTTTGATTGAGCCTGTTCATTGACGGTACTGGAAAGTGTAAGTTACCATCCACACCCCCTAGCACCGGCTTAAGCAGAATTCAACATTTAAACCTGAAAAATAGTAAAATTTTGAATTTAGAAACATCCACAGATGTGTTCATATGGTGATTAACACTGAATTGCTGGATCAAAAATTATAAGCATAGTGGGGCCAGCCTGGACTTCAGTGCAGCCTGACCAGGTTCCCTAGACTTACTTTATCATCTTGATATCCCCAAGATTGATAATGGACAGTTCCATAAATGTAAAGTGGACAAGTCCATTTAAGAAATTCAGTAGGTTTAAGCTAGTGTTATAAACTTTATAAAGAAATCAATCGGGAGCTTGAAACAACCACATACATGAATAAATGACGATTTTATGCGATATAAAAAGCAGACGGCACAATGAATCTTTATATTGGTGCGTTGTCAATGAATTGATCGGGAATTGATTTATTAAAGGCTGTTCTAAAACATTCCTGCATGAAAGCTTTAAATGGTGATTGGTTAGGAAATGAAATGTTACATTATTGATGAAAGTTTTAGAAAAGTTTGCTTTGACTTTGGCACTTTTCATTGTTGTGTAAGGGGATATCTAAATAACTGTTAAAATATGTAAGCAAGAATCATAAAGTATAGAATCAGGTCAGACTTTACAAATAATTGGTTTATTTAAGCTCGATTGCAAAACTTATATTTATCACTTTCGAGTCCGCTTCCTGGCACTTACTAGTATTCGTGTCATATAAAGAAACATGGTTGTGACCAGAGTAGGGCTCGAACCCATGATCTCTGGGTTGAAAGGCAGACACCTTAACCACTAGGCCACCGCTCCCCTTTACAAATGTTTTTTTTCTGGTTTGAAAATAGAGAATTTACTTTGGCAGTTTGTATGCATTAAATGCGTTTGGCTGGTTTATTTGTTACCAAGCCCCTCTATGACTACTGCACTCCTTTAACAAATGTCTCTTTCAAAACATGGTCAATAGCCATTTTCCATTGAAGAAATGTCATTAAATATCACAAAGCTGCATTGTTTTAAGTTTGTGGAGTATGAATTTTAATACTGTATTTATTACAGCGTTGATTGATTTTGTTCTGGAGAAATTGGGGGAGAGGGGGATTGTAAACTGTGGGGATCTGATGTGAAAGGACCTTGTAATCAATGCACCAAACATTCATGTTGTGAAGTATAGTTGAATATTATCAGCAGTTGCATAATTTATAAACTTTTTTGACGTATTTATAAGTGAACTATAAATAAAGATTATGTTGTTTATTTTGCTCTGTTTTCTCTTATCTTATTTAATTGGTTACAAGGGCATAGCTAGGCTAAAAAACGGTATGAAAAGTTACAGCTGGGTGTTTAGGGAGTCTGATAGGCCCCTTTTATCAGTCCAGGGCGGAGTCCTGCTATGGGGCCATTGGACAAAACCCATGGAAATTTGATGATTTTTTATCTGATTTATAGATGCAGAGATTATGCATTTTCATGTCAATTCAAGGTCAAAGAAAAATAAGAAAGACCAGAGTGATATATCATTGAATAATATGACACTACTAGTATTTCATTGTCAACTACATATGTATTGGACACTTAGGATCTTCTAGGGTATGTGTGTGCCCCTGGTGCACCATTCCCCCCCCCCCTTCCTCCATCCCCCTGCCTCCCCACTCCTTGAAGGTGCTAGTGCATATAGCTATTCATTTATAATTATCTTGCAGATGTGTCTTTATGTGAAATATCACATACCCTGGTGCATTTAAAAGGAGCGATACTGTAATAAATCATTGATTAGTTATCCTATGAATATCTATAGTTGCAATGACATAAGTGTATTCTTTGATATCTAAAATTGTTTCATGCACAATCAGAAACGTAACTTTTATAATGTTATTTTCGTATTCAATGCAACAATGATATAAGTGAACAAAATCGAACTACAAATTATGTCGATTTTCCATTGAACACTGGATTCATTCAACACCACTTCTGAGGTCTTCCTATAACTATCTATCATTAATATGTCAGAAGGATTCTGTCAAGTTCTTTACAGTAATTGACGTAATAATGGTTATATATCTGAAAATATGGCTAATTAGGTTGTACCATGGGAATATATAAATTGTAATTTATCCTGCCGAAGTTGTTATTAATACATGCCAATGTGATAATTGAGGTTTAGGGATAATGTTTGTTTATGACAAGTAAATAAATATGATTTTTTTCTGCATTTCTCATTGTAATGAAAAGAAAAAACAGGACCAAAAAAATAGGAAGGTCTATATAAAGTTTCTATTTGAAACACCCAATTTAAAAAATATGTTATTTTATCTGTAGAAATAATAGGTTTATTACAATGTTTTAAGAAATCAGTGTTGGTGTGTACGTGCCTTAAAACCCTATCTTCAATATGCATTTGAATATCATATTTGTTTAACAGTCAGTTAAAATAGTGCTGTGTTACTCCTGTATATTGTTACTTAATTAAGTAGCTACATTTGTCATAGACAAAATATTATTCTCTGTAGCTATGGAATGTTATATTTCGTGACTGTATATGAAGTTTAAAATATAGGTGACTTTTTTTATTCAGTACTAATTTCCAATAATCAATAGAAAATAGTTGATCCCGATAAGTAGTTCATTTCTTTTTTCACATTAATTTTGTGTCTTAAACGTGTTATAGTTATATATATATTTTTTAAATTGAGGTCAATAGCTGGGTATCAAGGAAATTTGAGAATTATGGAAGATGTTCCCTTTCCTTCAGGCTTTAAAGAAGCCAGCAGGCCAAATCAAAATTTTATCTGCTTCTGCTTCAGACAAACACACCAGATACATCATTCCTGCAACAAATTTTAGTATTTTATTTTTCTTATCTCTGTGTTTCCAATCATAACCGCTGGACAATTTGACAGATGGCCAGAAAAGAGCTCAGAAAAGAACTTTTTGAAATTGAACATTTAACACTAATGAATAAAATTATGTAAAGTTGGTTCACAATGAAAAATGAAAAATTATTTTTTGTATGTATTTGAAAAAACTCAGCTTATTTGACTGACCCAACCCAAGAATGTGGTTTTAACAAACAGTGTATCTGAAATCATATACCTTCCTACACAATCAAACTAAAATAAATTATGTATAAACTAAATTTTTTTTTCTAAGTCACCCTAAAGTTAATGTATCTATACTGAGCCATTCATCTAAGCGTTTAATCCATACCACTTAAAATTATACCATTTAACGCATATAATAAGAACCCATATTATTCAAACCAATATTAGTGAAGCCAATACCAATCTAGACCAGTTAGACAGTTAAAAGCATAAGTTATAATCGGGGCTCTCAAGGAAGATCAAACTTGATAAGTGGGAGTGGATTGGGTGCGCCTCAATGGCCCAGTTATGTAGGCGTGACTTAAAGCAGAACCAAAAAATTGAAAATAAGTGCTCCTTAAAGAATTAAAAATGAATGCTGCTTAAATGAGTCCCAATGGGGTCCAAAAGCCTTAAAACATAAAATTTTAATTTCTTAAATGAATCAGCTAGAGCACGTAAACTGAACAATATACCAAAGATTATAATTAAGAAATATATTGAGAAATAAATTGCATATCGTATTTTTGTACTACTCTTAGCCCGATTTTGGCAAAATTGGGTATTTTATATAATAAGAATACTTATTCTGATGAAATGGAGTAAGCAAATTATCTGAAATTTTGCACACAAGCTATTCGTCAAGATCTACATCAAATGGGACATTAATCTCTAAAAATTATTTCAAGTCGTGTCATTTCAAAAAACCTCAGTGGAGTCCCTTTAAACTTAATTAACTGAAGTGATCTTTAAACTTAATTAACTGAAGTGATCAAATGACTTCAGTAGTATGTCTATTAGTTAAAACACAGTTCAGTGATCTTTCCAAAAAAATATTATTAAATTAGCATGATAAAGAGATATGGATTTGAGTTTTTATATGAAATAGTCTAAATTATATCATGAAACTTCAATATTTACCTACCATTTAGACATAGATATTAGGTTTAATTTGTCTTACATTTTAAATAGAATTAAAAAATAACATTGAACATAGACAGTATTATGTTTAATAAATCTTACTTTCACCAAAAAATTCAGATCATTATAAAATAGCTCTGGGGAGGAAAAAGAGGAATTAATACCAACGCAAAGAGAAAAGGGTGTATGAATAATGAAAGACATCTTTTTTACAAAATTTACTTAACCCTTTACCCCATATATACGCGAAACAACGCACTTTCGACCCCCCCCCCCTTTTTAGGCCTCAAAGAGTGAAAAAATGTCCTATTTGGGCCCCAAACACATGATTTCGTTTGAGAAATGTTGCTAAAAAAATTGAGCACTTTTTCGGCGCCGCCCCCCATCTAAAAGATACATCAGGGGGTTGCCAGAAGGGGGATGTGCCCCCTTCTGTTAGGGGGGTTTGAAGGAGGCGGAGTCCCCCTCATCGCCAAGAAAATTTTGGACTTGTGATAGGCTAAAAATGACCCCAGGTCGATCATAATGTAACGTGTAACCAACGCTGAAAAGCCTTTGACTCTATCTCAATCCCTTGAGAAGTTGCAGCACTTTGAAATAAATTTTGATGGAAGAAATCAAGGCAAAATAGTGTTTTTTGGCAATTTTGAGATGTCCCCTCGTTGCCATGGTAACAGGAAATTTAAGACTGAGCATGTCGTTACAAAGACAATGGTCCAGTCAACATTTGTGCCAAGTTTAATTAGTATTGAAGCATTTTTCATAGTTTCACAGCAGTTTGAAATTGTAACAGGAGGCTTTTCAGTGAAAACGGCCATTTTTCACAATATGCTCATGGGGGAAAGGGTTAAACTTGAATACCCTATTTTACCTAATTAGTCACAAAATTTTGACAAATCCACCTGTATCTGAGATAATTTAGTTATGATATTTGCAAAGTAAATAAGATAAAAGTATAAAAATATAAAAAAGCAGTCTTAAAATCTGTGGCACCCCCAAATGCCATCTTCTTATCCCTATACTCAAAAGACAAATATGCCGAGTCATTGTGGATTTTGAAAAAAATTATGGATTTTAATAGGATTTTGATGATGAAATTAAGGCAGACAATTCTTTGAAGACAGATTGTTGATCTGTCAGACTTATAAACTGTTTATTAGGTCCTGAAATTATTTTCTCTATTTATTCTATGACAACAGTTTATTGTTCCGTCATTGTTTGGAAACAGTTGCAGCTATGAGTGTCTGAATCTTTTCCCTCTTATCATGTCCCATCTCCACACCTTCATTGTCTCCAAGCACCTTATCACATTTTTTGGTAGGTCTGTATTGACTTTTATGATTAAACTACTTTATAAAAGTTCAATGCCATGTTTCTTTTTGTACAATCGTTAACACTCCAATCCTTAATACATTGTCACAATTCTATACTGAATAACATTACATGAACCCTGAACCTCCTGTATTTATGTAATGGACTTGTCCAAATTTGAGTTTAGAACAGTCCATTTAAAGTTTTAGGTATTTTAGGGATTTGTATATCAAAATTCAAAAATACAGCTACCAACAGTTATAGAACCTTGTCTGACTGTAGGGATGTGCAAGTCTGGCCTGACTTATAATATACTGGTGGCATTTTTAAGGCTAAATACTTATGGTTCTAGAAGAGAAAAGTTGATATTCTATTCAACCAGTACAAATGATGATAGGGTTCATTACTTTGTTGGGTAAGCTTACTAAATTCTGAAGTGAAACATTTACCCACACGTTTAACATTTCCTGTCCTGTTCTTATACCCGCTACTAAGTTACTTGTATTTTCTGTTTCAGAAAAAGCACAATGTACACATGTACTTTGATAGAGACACGGGTTCGTGGGTTCGTATGCCTGTTGGTTGGGAGCTGCATCATAATATGGTCAAATCACTTGTTGATCAAGTAGACGTAAGTATATGTTGTCATTTAAATGAATTTCATCAGGAAAACTTTAAAAACTATGTGATTGAGTCATCGTTTTGTTGGTTCTTCTTTTTTGCGTATCTTTGACAACAACTTTATAACATGTTGCATACATGTTATTTTTTTTTCTATGATCAAGAGGGAGATTTTTCTTCACAAAGAGGGAGATTTTAGAATTTGCAATGAACAAAGATTAGGAAGTTCTGACATCAAAAAGAGTGTGATTTCTTTAATTTGTGAAAATACCCCTTATTTTAAGAAAAATCTTTGAAAATATGCCTGCAGAAAGAGGGAGTCTCCCGCTTAAAGTGGGAGTGTTCACATGTATGATGTTGTAAACTAGGATTTTATTACTTTGTTTATATAGTAAGTTTATGAATATTTATGAGTACAGAAATCATATAACCAGCAGTTAAGAGATTGATTCTAAGGGCATGGGTTATAATTAGGGCCTAAAGGAACATTGAATTTTAAATTATAAGATGTATAAAAAAAAAAATGAGAGCGGAAGAGGTGTGGGTGCCACATGAGCATCACTTTACACGGAAGACCCTTGCTCAAAATGAAAATGAGTGTTGATGTTCATAAGTTTACTGGTATTTATTTTGATTATGATTATGTTTAAACCATTGACAGTATTTAACCAATGGTATTAAAATATAATACATGTACAAAGGCATGCTCTTGACTTAAATTAATAATGATAAGTTTTTAATAATGTATTTCAGGAGGCCGTGCCAACATGGGGTGATAGACATGATATACTAGCACTGCTTCGAGCATGTAATTATGATCCTGATGAGTGTATATCCATATATCTACATTTAGAAAGAGATGGTAAATATATTGTCAAAGATTTTATAAAATATGATTAATTTATACATGTATACTCAAGGGGATATAGTATAACATGTATAATTGTATTAGCTGTATTTATCTATATTTAGAACTAAGTCTGACACTGACGTCTGCTAGAGTGTAATTTTAAAATTGAAAATTTTTCGAGAGAGTTCAAATAAAATACAAATACCTGTAAAAGTGTTAACTCTTTGCCGTAACTGGCGGAACTAGATCGACCCGTGTGACACGACCAGTACATCTGCACTGTCTATATTAACTAGTGATAAATGGTTTTGTCTAGATTGTTCTGCCTTTCATTTACTTTTTGACAAAATATACAAATTTTAGACAACTTTCAACATTAAATAACTTTGACCAACTGTCACCTTCTATATAAGTTGTCCAAATATATCAAAAGTCAGATTTGACTATCTGTCATATTTGACAAGATGTCTTTTGACAAAATATCATTGAAGCAAAAGATAAATACTTCCATTTAACATATATTTGTATTTAGGGTTGATGTCATTTATTCACTTGTTGCTATGTCTATGTTGCTAGTATTTGGCCAAGATTTGGAGTCATTATTTCAGCCTTAGTCTCTTCAAGAGAATCTTTCCTTGCTAAAAAAAATTGAAAAAAAAAAATTGAAATATTAAGGGTCATTATTTCAGTGTTTTCTGTTCAATCTAAAATTGCTTTGCCTAAGAAAGCCTATGAGAGTCAAGACAGAAACAAAAGAAACATATTTGGTGTAACGGAAGAATTCATTCGAGTATTTAGTTTTTTTACCACAGTTCTGATGGACAGATTACCAGGCTTTCATACTCTTTTATATCCTGTACTTTATCACTAGTAATAATAAAATGATTGTACTTTAAACAAGGACTAAATGTAAATATATGCTGACGTTTTATTTAGAATGGATGAAAGGACCAAAGACCTCAAAAGAAAACAAAGTTTTGATGGAAAAAGAAGTACGAATTCTAGAGTTGGAGAAGAGAGTCAGACATCTAGTAAGTATCAGGGTGCATTTAGTTGTATTATATAGTTATAAATGAAATATTGAGAAATATTGATGAAATAAAATGCATTATTTTTTTTTTCCGAATTTTCACTGTTAATTTTTTTTTCGCTGCAGTGAAACATACTTTCTGTATTTTCACTTGTGTCTTGCTGGTCTACTTTCTTCCAAATTTAGCCAATACACAATTTCAACAAAATGTCATGGAAGCTGATGAATATTTAAGATACATTTGTGTTTAGGATTGATGGCAATACGCATCAGTATAATAATTTTACTTCTAGCTTGACTTTTGACAAGTCCATTTATCATTACTGGAGTCTCAGTATGTTAACTTTTCATATTTTTTTTCAGGTAAATTTATTTATTTCAATACGATGATTTAAATTTATGTATGCACTCTTCTTACAGGAAATACAATTACAGAAAGAAATGGATGCTAGAGCAGATGCCGAAAGAAATGTAAGCAAATTTAATAATTTCGAGTGATTTACTGAAGAAAAATTTGATATGTAAAGGGAGGTAATCAGGAAAAAAAAATGTTCTAACAATGGAAGCAGTGATCTCCCTTATACAATTCATTTTCTTATGCAAAGAATATATCTGTAAAAGAGAGTCAGTATAAAAGTATATGGTAAATACTATTTTTGGGGATATTTCAAATACATGTAGCTTTGTAAGGAGGAACAAGTTTGATAAACCATACAAAAAGGGACACTTTACAAAATACTGTAATTTATTATTTATTTGAACCCTATGTTTTTGTGCCTTTTGTATTGCATTATTCTACCAAATTCTATTTTTAGCTTGAGATACAAATGACGAAATTTAGTGAATTGGAGGCGGAATCAAAGGAGACAGAAGCTCATTTGTCTGCAGTAACTGGTGGCAGGCCACCTACTGCAAGACCTTTCTCAAGAATGGTGAAGCCGGGACAAAAGGGTGCCAAAGGTGTTGTCGCTGGGGCAGCTGTTAAAGGGGTGAGAAATCTCTTAAAGTTGTTTTGTCACTACACATATTAAAGATTTTATTTTGGAATTTGATTTCATGGCTTTTAAAAAAAATGCTTTTTAATTATTAAAAAAACAAAAACAAACAAACAAAAAATAACAAACAAAAACTTAAGTTTTGAATGGTTATTGAACAGATACAAATTTTTTTTTTCCATGAAGGGAGGTAAACAGGTACAGTCAGGAGAAGTTGTCAACCCTGATGATGTCCTTGACCTTAATGCTAATGCCAAGGAGTTGCGAAAGGCTCATACTCGTGTTAAAATGGACATGGAAAGATTTGTGGGCGACATGAAACATATGTTAGAAAAGGTAAATTATTCTTTTGGTACCAGTATTCTTTTGCTTTTTAAAATGACAGATTTAGTATGAATTAAGGACAGATTTATTGTGAATTAAGGACAGATTCATTGTGAATTAAGGACAGATTTATTGTCAATTAAGAATATACAGTCGACTCTCGTTATCTCGAAGTCATCGGGACCGTCCAAAAAATATCGAGATAAGGAAATGTCGAGATAAACATATAAGGGTTTGAACAAGGCAGAAACTGATTTTTACAAAAGACATGTGCATACCTTATGTCAAATAAACTATGATATCCCATGTCTTGTTTCGTAAGCCTAGTCAATATTTAACAAAGTAACATTAGCGGATGTTTACCAGCGGAAATACGGGTGTCTGTGATAAAAACACATAGTGAGGTTTACTGACTAATACACCAATATAGTGAAAACATTATTGTTTTCAGGGTGGTTGATCCGGATATCCTCCCGGGTTAGTTATCGGGTCTTTCTCGAGGTTGTTCGACCGCTGATTTTTTTGATGTTGTGAAACAATATTGCAGCCATAACGTTTCTATACTTTCACTGTATTTCATTTACATTTAAAGTCATAAAGAATTAAAACGGTGTTCGAACATTTATAAAGAACATAAAATTCACTTATTTTTGGACATAAGTCAATAAACACGCTAATTAGATTAACTTTTATAATAACACCTCAACTTGTTACAAACATGATCATCATTATGACACGCGCTATTGAGCAATTATAGTCTGGTTTGTGTTTTTCACAAGTCTGAAGGGAACAGACAAAAGAAAACTATTACCGGTAGTCGAGATAAACAAAGGATAATGGTGTGAAAATAACTGTTGGGGCTGAAATTTTACATCGAGATACTGAAAATATCGAAATAAAAATATCGAAATAAACAAATATTTCCAACATAGATAAAGAAGGAAGAAAATCGGGACTTTCAAAATTTCATCGAGATAACGAAATGTCGAGAAAAGCGATGTCGAGATAACGATTGTTGACTGTAATAAACAGAGTAGGAACAAAAATAATAAAATGGTGTTGGGCAGTTTTCAATATTTATATTGTTAATTATCAGTTTTAGCAGTATCAAATAAAATGTTTTTAAAGTTGCATGTACATGTATTTGCAATGAGAAGACTGCAAGGAAATCTAAACACAAGCCAAAAAGCTATTTTTAAGGCTCAAGTTTTTCCACCCTTCTTTCTTCATGTGATAAGCAACAAACATGCTCTAAATCCATTACCAAAAAATTATACAGCACAGGTTTGCTATCTCTTCAGAGGAAATACCATCTTTATTTCTGAGGCTTTATGTGGCTTTAAGGAGATTTTAATCTTGGTGTTTCAGATTGGTCCAGCATTCAAGCAGATGAAGCAGTCTGAGAAAGGAACCAAGAATGAGATAGAGGAGGTGCGAGCCTTGTACAGGAAAGAGGCATTACAGAGGAGATTACTGTATAATCAGGTAATCAATCCTTATCACCCTAAATATCTTAAGGAGAGCAGTGGCCTTGGGGTTAAGGTGTCTGCCTTTCAACCCGTGTATCATGGGTTCGAGTGTTAATCGGTCATGACCATGTTTCTTCATATGGCACCTGTACTGGTTGGTTACAGGAAGCGGACTTGAAAGTGATTAATATAAGTTGCAAGAAATTATTTCGCAATCGAGCTTAAATATGTTTAAACCAAATATCTGAAATGGACTTGTCCATTTGTTAGTCTGGACAAAAAGCTTTCATCATTTTTAGGGAAAATTTTAAATCAGATTGTGCTGGCTGGCTGATCTTGGTCAGCACTGTTTGCATGGGTAGATTCAGGTGCCGACAGCATGCAGCTGGTTTAATGGAAGGTTCAAGTAAGCATCAAGTGTTTATCACAGTGGAGCTAAACTGAATAAGTTTAAACTTGATATTTCAGCTACAAGAGCTACGTGGTAATATACGAGTGTTCTGTCGTGTCCGGAAGGATGACAGAGCCGAGAATTGCCTTAAATTTCCAAGTGACCAGGATGTCATTGCTACGTCTCAGGGACAGAAAAAGATGTTTAACTTTGACAGAGTCTTTGACCCATCTAGCACACAGGAAGCAGTATGTACCATTCTGTTTGACCTTTTGAGTTCCTATTTTCTGTCGTCACAATAATTTTTGTAGATAAACTCTATAAAATGCACCAAAAAAAAGGAAAATATATTAATATATATTTTCAACCCATTTTGCAAAAGATGCCTTATGAGAATATATTAATACAGCTCTAAGAAACATACTGGTCCACTGGTGCAATCAAATGACACGAGTCCTGTGTGAATGACTGTTATTGACATGAGCCCAGGTGTGTTTCAAACATGTAAAACTTTGTTATGACCGAGAATCTGAAGCAAATGAAAAAACCAATATTTCCCCCTCTTGATTACATATTCTTGCTATTTAAGTATTTTAACATCCACCCATTTGTATTCTGTCTTGTTGTATCCATTGATGGTAAATGTTACTTACTATGTATGTATGTAGTCTATGCTTAATGAAGGTCCATCCGCCCTTTCGGGCACAAAATGCAGCTTTTGCTGTCGAGTACGGACAGGGCTGTTGGTGCCAGCAAAAGGCCTGCCATTCAAGCTGTTTAACCATGCTAAGGGCTCACGCACCTTAGCACACCATCCTTGTCGACCCAAGCGCCTACTTTGTAGGGCCATTCCCTTGGCTTAAGTCAGAACATCGGCAGCTGGTCCGCAGCACAAGTTTCGATCTTTTTTTCGCTGTCCCCTGAGTCTTCAAATCTTCTGCCGATGTCCTGCGTCTTCTCAACGACTTACACGCACTGAGGGGAAGAGAGAAGATGTTACTTACTTGTACCCTTTTAATTTATATAATGGACTGCCCTGCTTTGAATCTGGAACTGTCCATTATTTATGTGAGGGGAAGTGACATTAGGTATAAATATAAAATTTTGACATGATGTTAAATGATTACAACCTAACACCTCTCATAAATTGAGGGTTCAGTGATAGAAATTTTAAAGGTATGATAACATCATAAACTATAAAAATCAGAAAAGAATAAGCTGTCATTGAAGATGGAAGCCATCTATTGACTACAACATACATGTGAACTCTCCCACTCTTAGCGGGAGACTGCCACTTTCTGCAGCCATATTTTCAAAGATTTTTCTTAAAATAAGGGGTATTTTCATAAATTAAAGAAATCTCCTTATTTTGATGTCAGAACTTCCTTGTTTATTGCAAATTCTAAAATCTCCCTCTATTTGAAGAAAAATCTCCCACTTGATCAGCGAAAAAAGTTCACATGTATGCTACAAATTCTTGCTTTTAAATATTTAACATCCATCATTAGCTCGACTTTTCTATGAAAAGGGGAGCTATCCTACTCGCCCCGGCGTCGGCGTTAGCGTTGGCGTCACACCTTGGTTAAGTTTTTCGTACCACCCCACTTTATTTCAGAAGTATTACAAGTATGGCTTTGAAACTTACCATACTTGTTCACCACCATAACCTCCATCTACAGACAAGAGTACATAACTCTGTCAAGGTTTTTGACAGAATTATGGCCCTTTTTTGACTTAGAAAGTGTATTGAGCTTGGTTAAGTTTTTTGTACCACCTCACTTTATTTCAAAACCATTGGAGGTATTGCTTTGAAACTGACCATACTTGTTTACCATCACGACCTTCATCAACAGACAATAGGACATAACTCTGTCAAGGTTTTTGACAGAATTATGCCCCTTTTTGACTTAGAAAATACATTGAATATGGGTAAAATCCACTTATTGCCTTAACCCTTTGAGATATTGCTTTGAAACTTTTAATGCTATTTCACATCATTACCCCCATCTGTACGCAAGAGAAGGTAACTCTGTCAAGGATTTGTTTTAAAAATTAAGGCCTTTTATCGACTTAGAATCTTGGTTAAGTTTTTTAGTACCAGTCCACTTTTTGACTGAACTGTTTGAGATATTAATTTGAAAGTTGGAATACTTGTTTACAATCATGATTCCCAAACATGTCCAGGAGAAGGTAATTCTGTCAAAGATTTTATTTGAATTATGGCCCTTAACTGTCAATGTTTTGTATTATAGGCAAGCACTAAAAAACTTAAAAAATCTAAAAAAATTCATTCCTATCCACTTGTTCACTTTACCATAAATTATGTCATATAAACATTGCTGTAATATTCAAGGGTATCAAACAACTAGTTCACTTTAAAAATACAGAGATTCTTGTATTGCCTTTTACTGCAAAAACTTTTTTTATTGGCAAGCAATAAAAAAGTCGAGCGCGCTGTCTTACGGACAGCTCTTGTTTTGAATATCTTCTTGTTATATCAAATTACAGATTAGCTTGATAGTTAAGATTTATTATTGCAAACATGACAAGCCACTCATCAAATTTTTAATGTAACATGATTACAATTCTTCAAATCCATGATTTGATGAATAGAAAATTGAATATTATAATGACGTTTTCCTAAATTTGTCCGAGCATGCTGTAGAACTTATCTTTTCTAGACGTAATTTTACTGAAGAAAGTGCTTGGACAAATATTTGCAAATTGAAATATTTCTCTCCTAACTATATTTACTATTTACTGTTCATTTAGTTCTTAGTTTGACATGAGAGGGTCCTCTGCGGCTGATTGGTCAATATTTAGATCACAGCTGTGGGTGTAAATTCAACGATTTTGTATTCATTAATGTGTGACAGTATAATTTAGCTAGGTTACTGAAGGTCTGTAACCTGGGTGGAAGGTCTACTGTGGCACACATTTTTATCTGAAATATGCTCAATGGGGCAACAGAGATCTTTCATCACCAATGAAGCTGGAAAGTCATTATGTAACTTTTAGTCTTGTCTGTTATTCTTCATGTGAGGAAATTTCACAGATGCTCTGTGGTTCTTGAAAGGTCTACTCAGGTGCATAATTGAGTCTGAAATAATGCATAAGGGGCAGTAGAGGTCTTTCTTCACCAGTAAATCTTGGATGTCACCACATGACCAAAGTCTGTCCATTGTGGGTGTACACAAACTATAGAAATGAATACATGTATATAATTTGGTGTGATGTTAAATGATTACAACCTAACACCTCTCAAATTGAGGGTTCAGTGATAGAAATTTTAAATATATGATAACATCATTTACAATAAAATCTGAACAGAAGAATCTGTAACGTAGGATGTAATGCACGCAGGGGCTTCAGCGGTCTTCCTTCACCATTGAAGCTAGAAAGTAAATCCCCTTAAGTCTTTGATACAGGATAAGCTTGACTTTAATCTAAACCATAATAAAAACCATAAGAAAAATATATACATGTATATAATTTGGTGTGATGTTAAATGATTACAATCTAACACCTCTCAAATTGAGGGTTCAGTGATAGAAATTTTAAATCTATGATAACATCATTTACAATAAAATCTGAACAGAAAAATCTGTCACGTAGGACGTAATGCATGCAGGGCTGCAATTTAGGTCTTTCTTTACCATTAAAGCTAGAAGTCTTTGATACAGTATCAACGCGACTTCAACCTAAACCATAGAGAAAAATATATAAATGTATAAAATTTGGTGTGATGTTAAATGATTACAACCTAACATCTCTCAAATTGAGGGTTCAGTGATAGAAAATTTTAAATATATGATAACATCAAAATTTGAAATTTGGGGCAGAATGATGGAACATGATCATTCAACCTTATACCTCTCATTATTGAGGGTTCTATGAATGCAATCTATAAGTATGATACCATCTTTTTTTTTTAATCTTTGTGTGTTAACAGAGATTTAGATAATTACGTTATCTATGTCTCTGGTGTTAATAACAAAAGAAGCAAAGTTATGACACCCAAGCCATGCAAACTGGCATCAGTCTATGTACATTTGGCTATTTGAGATATTCATAATTTGTTATGGAACTCCCTTAAGCTACTATTGGACTGTTCCCGATTCAAAGTGGGGCAAGTTCATTATATAAATTCAGGTGAGAAAGGGTTGATAAGAAATTATGGAATACAATAGTAGTAATAATCTCATGATTTGGTATTGTAATTTATGGCAAGCCCACAGTAAAACAGCTCGTCAGGTTTGCATGGATTTGCAGGCTGGCCTGGCTCTATACTGTTGTCAATGACTTACTGTTTCAGTACAATAAGGTTAAAGGTGGTTGCAGATTATTTTGATAATTTTGTTTTTTCAGGTATTTGAGGATACTAAGCCTATTATTACATCATGCGCTGACGGTTACAATGTGTGCTTACTGGCATACGGACAGACGGGTAGTGGTAAAACATTTACTATGATGGGTCCAGATTCCAATCCGGGCATTAATATCAGGTGATTACTTGCATAATTATATTGATAACTATAAGTTTCTGCAAATGTTTAGCCTTAGAATGTGAAGAATAAGTTTAATAACTATCAAGTCTTATAGATTCCTATTGTTTCTTTGAAAAAGATGTAACTTCTTGGAAAAAAAGAACCACAACTCTGCAATGTTAATTTCATAAGTTATCTTTCTTGTATTATAGAGCAATGAAGGAGCTGTTCCAAGTGTGCAGTGAGCGTAAGGAGACCATGTCTTTTACACTAACTGTAAGTATAAAACTAAGTGACAATCTTCCCACACCTATAAAACTAGAAAGTTGCCATATGACCTTTTCGGTGTAGGTTTGGATATATAACCCAAGCCGCAAAACAGGCTATTACATATGGCCATATAACCTGGCAGGAATATCTATAACCATTTATAATACAGTAAACTTCCTTTTTTAGAGAATAAAGTGAGATTTCTTCATAGATTAAACCTATCACTGTTTATATATCCTTTCAAAGGCCATCCGCTATACCCGTAGGACGGCCAAAGCGTAAGAAAACGTATCGAATTTTTACATTTCTGAAAGCCAGTATTATTTTACGACCTGACGTCCATAGCGTAGTAAAACGTATCAAAAATTTACCTTTCTAGAAACCGTAGCGTAAATCAGCGTAAAACTTGAATTTTGTGTCATGCAAACACGTAAACACCTCGTTTTCGTACATTCTGGGTTTTTAGTGTGTTCATGAAAAATCAAAATATTACGCTATGGCTGTTCAACTGCATACGATAAACAACAAAGCCATACCGTATAACACTGTTAATATTACGTTCAACTGCAATAAACAGACTCACAATCCTTGTTTTCTAAAACAAGTTCTGAACGTTTTAAAACGGTAAATTTTACGTTATTTACCGATATAGCCCATTAGAATACCCTGTTGAGTAAAACGTCCACAACGTTTTAAAATGTAATTATTGAAAATCAATTTTTCTCAGGAAGGGTGATTGATATTATGCTTTTCAACGTGAATTTTGTAAGTTCAACTCATTTTTGTTTCAAATAAGAGAACTGCTTACAGAAACTCCGTTTGATGTATCAATAAATGCATTTTAAAATACTATACCATTTAGAAGATTTTCTTCAATTAATTTGGATATCGATTTGATTACCACATTAATTAAAAAGTGTACTGTATATCTAAACATCTACTATATCTGTCAATAAAGGGCACTATACAATTAACATATTTGGTGTTTTTATTTGAACAACATTTAACAGAATGAAATAAATGAAAGGTAAACTTTAAGAATTTAGTCATTTAAAACTAACTTTTGGTGGCCTTCCTACGACAAAACAGTAGTGGCTTTCAGGAAGCCAAAATTTTATACCGGTTTATTACGTTATAGCCTTCTTATGACTATAGCGCCTGGCTTTGAGAAGTCGATTTTTCGGTACGTTTTATTACATGTACACTATGGCCGTCGAAAGGATATAAATGATTGTTTGCAATATAGGCGAGTATTTCCAAACAACCATTTATATAGGGCCATAATACATTGTAACCTGTCAAAAATATTTATAACTAATAATATAACCGTCACGATTATCCAATGAAAAGCAGAATTTTACAAACATGCAGTATTATAACAGGCGTTATACATAGCTGATTGTGAATTTTAAATGCAGCGAAGTAAAAAAACATGGTTATTCTCTTGTACAAGGTATCGTTAGTGGAGATCTATAATGAGACCATTCAAGATTTACTGACAAACGATGCGAAGACATTAGAGTTGCGAACTGCTGGCAACAAGGTACAGATCCCAGGCTTGACTGAACATGAGATTAAAAATGTTGATGACGTAAAAAGAATTATGGCCATGGGAGATAAAAATAGATCTGTGGCCTCGACAAAAATGAATTCTACGAGGTAAGTAAAATTGAAGCTATGACAGAGATGCAGTTTTATCTAGCAATTGTATATAATTTATAGAGCTATATTTAGCCATGATTGATAGCATATAAGGAAGATAGTTTGTTATATCTGGGTTCTAGATTTAGCCGTAAAAAAATGCACAAAAGGAAACAAGGGTATGTATTTATCAGTGATGTAACTAACATGGGAAATAAATTATTTAGATTTTTAGGGTTCTTTAATACACATATAGGTATCAAAGATCAATTATTAACTTGACATTTGCTCTTAAGCAATTTGCTACCATGATAACTAATTGAAATAATTTGAAATTTGTATTGAGTTTTCAAGCCATTTGTCCCTCAACAGTGTGGGTTTAAATCTCAAAAGGGACTTTCATAGCTTATGGGATGTCATTGGTTCTACTCTGGTGTCGTTCATGCTTGAAATAATGCCATGTGGCCTATACTGTGTTGGTACGATGTAAAACTGAAACCCCAACCTCTACTTGCGTTTGTTACTAAAGACCATGGCCACAGCCTATAACATCCTTGCAATCATTAATAATATTTTGAACTAATGATGAGCTTTTCCAACATCAAAGCACAAGTAGTCATATACAAGTACTACTGTTGAAGTCTTGAGGCAATGTTTTTTTCATTTTTATTTTTTTCACTTTCAGTTCACGTTCCCATTTGGTATTGATGTTGGCCGTTGAAGGGCATGACAAAGTAACGAGTGCAATAACGCGTGGTACCCTCGTGTTGTGTGATCTGGCTGGTTCCGAGAGAATATCGAAAACAGAGGCTGAAGGTCAGAGGTTGGTCGAGGCTGCAGCCATCAATAAATCATTGTCAGCTCTTGGACAGGTAGGGACAGTGTCTTTAATTCACATCTGAATTTTTTTATAATACATTAAAGTTTCAACTGGATTGTGAATAGGTATATTTTTCTTGAAATATAAGTATACTTTATTAAAGGGTGATTTTTTTTTAAGATTTATTATACTTGTTTGAAAGTGTGCCACTTTAACTATTGACTTTATTTGACTCTTTCCATGTTTTTTCTAAAATTATTATTTTTATCAAGATACTTTTGCGATAATTAATAATTTGCATAATTTCTAAATTTATCATAAACTTGTTTGAAAGTGTGCAACTTTAACCATTGACTTTATTTGAGCTGCGTCACGACAAAACCAACATAGTGGGTTTGCAACCAGCATGGATCAAGACCAGCCTGCGCATCCGCGCAGTCTGATCAGGATCCATGCTGTTCGCTTACCAACTCTTTTACAAGTAGAGAAACTGATAGCGAACAGCATTGACCCTGATCAGACTACGCGGACGTGCAGGCTGGTCTGGATCCATGCTGGTCGCAAAGCCATTATGTTGGTTTTGTCCTGATGTGGCTCATTTGACTCTTTCCATGTTTTTTCTAAAATTATTTTTTTTATCAAGATACTTTTGCAATAATTAATAATTTGAATAATTTCTAAATTTATCATATTTAAATAATGTAAATTACGAAACATTGGTGGTTCTACTCATGTTTTATTAATGCATGGAAGGGCAACCGAGGTCTTCCTCCAGTAAAGCTGGAAAGTCGCCAATTATGACCAGTACTGTGTTGGTGTGACGTAAAATCCAATCACACAAACAAAACAAATTATGTAACTTCAACAGTGTAAAAGACCTTTGTATTACTATCCTCAAGCATTATTTTTCTAATTTTGTAGGTTTTCTCGGCATTACGAAGCAGTCAACTTCATGTTCCTTATAGAAACTCTAAACTAACACAGATATTACAGCCTTCATTGGGAGGAGATGCTAAGGTACATTGTGTCTTATAGCTTATAATAAATGAAGTTTCGATTATCTTATTTAGGGCCTTTGTGGTTAAGGTCACTGACTTTGAATTACTAGTACTTGCCCTTTTGCTACTTTGGGTTCAAATCCAACCAGGGGTTTTGGAGTCTTTTATGTGAGGAAGCTATCCTGCTTGCTGAACAATTGTTGGTGGTTCTACTCAAGTGCTTGAAATAATGTACAAAGGGGCTTCTTTGGTTCTCTTGCACTAGCACACAGTGTTGGTATGGTTTTATACTGAACTTAAATACAAAGAGAACCACTAAGCCCACTGTTTAAGCTCTTGGAATGATTTGGAAGGCATACGTTTTTGGTTTGTTTGTCAAAAAAACTTTAACCTTGACTAGAACACAAAGTTTAAACACCCTTACAACATCCATTTATAAAGAGGTGTACGCACCTTGATGGGCTTTATCTGCCAGACATATTTAGAGGTTATTGGGTCAAGGGTCACGGCCAATGTCACCGAAGGGGTCATAGCGTTCATTTCTCTCATAGCATTTGTTATATATGTATTTGAAAGTCTGTTAATTTATTTATAGCATATTTACTGTCAAGAAAGATTTCAGGATCTGAAAATGATAGGATTACTGGAAACAAAATATTTATGTTCATTGATAAAATCTTTATTTTTTTTTTCCAGGCATGTTTGTTTGTTAATGTTAGCCCAGATAACTATAACTTCTCAGAAACAGTGAGCACCCTTACATTTGGTAGTAACGCTAGACAAGTGGCTCTAGGTCAGGCTAAACAGAATATCAGCAAAGGAAAGTAATGAAATGAAATGAAATGCGGACATACCAAGAATCTATAAGTGTCTTATTTAGTCATAAATGTAAATGTGATAAATTAACGTTGTGTGTGGGAGTATTCTTAAAAAGCAAATGTTTTAGGGAATTAGATCATAGATCATTGTAAAATCAGCCAACTTGTCAATTCATGCTTATAATCCAGTAGAATCAGTTAAATTGTCAATTTATAGTGGTTATCCAGTAAAACCGGTAAACTTGTTGATTTATAGTTGTTATCCAGTAAAATCAGCTGACTAGGCAATTTATAGTGGTTATCCAGTAAAATCTGCCAAATTGTCATTTTACATTAGTTTTATAGTAGTTATCCAATGAAATCAGATAACTTGTCATATTATTGTGGTTATTTAGAACAATCAGCCAACTTGTCATTCTGGTAATCCAGTAAAAATCACTACTTGTCAATTTGTAATCAGTAAATTTTAACAGACTGACCACTTGATTATGTATACCTGATATCTTAGTTGGATAGAGTTCCAAATGTAAGCTAACTGTATGATTCAAAATATACTGTATTGGTATCTTGAAGCAAATCGATGAATTAAGTTTTTTATGTCATAATAATTTTGAACATACATTGTCATGAATTGTTTTAGGAAGATGTATTATCCCTTTCACATGCTCACAGTTTATATTGACTATGTCCCTAGATTATCATTGTATGTGATGTTAACAAAATTATCTATAGTTCAAATTTAATCGTAACAGTTTTTTAAGTTTAGTTTGATGCCAGTTTAATTATATTGTGTGGTATAAATCTGTTATTCAAAATATATAAATTTGTTATGGAACATATCGCCTGTAATTGTTTGAATCAATTTGAACATCATTTTAAGTTGAAAGTAAGTATTTATATACATGTCCACTCATCTCAAAGTGAGTAAGGCTCTCCGCCCTCTTTCATTCAAACACTGTGTCATGCTTGAATCTTAATTAATCATTTTCTTACATTCAGCTCAATGTAAATTATATTTTTTACTGGATATTTTTCGTTTGATTTACCCACTTGGTGGTACTATAGGTTTGACTCTTTAACATGCTTGAACCAGAAATGATTAGCCCTTACCATGTGTATAGAGCCAGGCCAGCTTGCACATGTCTTCAATTTTAACCAGACTGACCCACTTTAAATTTTCATCCTGATATCCCTTTATTTGAGAATAAGCAGTTCCAAAAATGTAAGCTGGACAACTCTATTGTAGAAATATAACTGGTTATGGGTTAAATCCTTGAAAGGTCAAATGTCATGAAAATTACAAAAAAAGTGTTTGCTTATACAAAATAATTTACTTGAACAGATATCTTGAATTTGTCCAGCTTCCTGAACTTGTTTATGAAGGGAGGAGACTCTGTGATATACCAAACTCCTCACAGTGATAACCTCCCTTAGCAGATTGTATCTCTGAACTGATAAGGGGAGATCACTGCATAGGAGATTGGTGATATACATGTATAATGTTTTTGAATGATTATATCCCTTAGCTCACAGATAACATAAACATTTTTGTTGCCAAAGTTTACCTGCATGGGCAAATGACACTTGTTTTAAGTTTAGTTGATGCCAGTTATTATTAATTCTGCAGGTATAACCTCTGTTTTTATTTTTTGTGTTTTTATTATTTTTTATTTCATGCCAAATATTTATTTAAATATTTTTATATTGTCAGGAGAAAAATATGATTATTTTAAGTTTGCTGCCTTGTACAGTCATAGTGATATTGTGTACATGTACTCACATACATTGTACAAACTTAATTAACCCTTGTATTGCCAACAGCCCTGTTTTAAAGACCACTCCAAAATACAAACCACATATCGTTACTTTAGTGCAGTAATGTGTTAAAACCCTCTAAATCTAACAGGAGTTAACTGTTTACTGCACTAAGGTGATGTTAGGTATAAAAACCAGTCGAGTTAGTGATGCACAGTAGAGTCATCAAAGTCTAGAATTGACACGACATTGGCAGACGGTCAATGGATACCATATTCCATACATTGTCAAAAAACAACCTTTATTTTTTTTGTCCAATTTTTTTAAAAAAGCCAGAAACTTCTATTTTTAGCTCGACTATTCGATAAGAATAAGTAGAGCTATTGCAGTCACCCGAGCGTTGGCGTCGGCGTAACCACTTATGTTAAAGTTTTTGTAATAGTTCAAATATTTTCAAAGTCCATTGACATATGGCTTTGAAACTTTGCACACTTGTTCACCATCATGACCCCAACCTGTAGACAGGAGGAGGTAACTCTATCAAGCATTTTGACAGAATTATGCCCCTTTTTCGACTTAGAATTTACGTTAAAGTTTTTGTAATAGTTCAAATATTTTCAAAGTCCATTGACATATGGCTTTGAAACTTTGCACACTTGTTCAACATCATGACCCCAACCTGTAAACAGGAGGAGGTAACTCTATCAAGCATTTTGACAGAATTATGCCCCTTTTTCGACTTAGAATTTACGTTAAAGTTTTTGTAATAGTTCAAATATTTTCAAAGTCCATTGACATATGGCTTTGAAACTTTGCACACTTGTTCACCATCATGACCCCAACCTGTAAACAGGAGGAGGTAACTCTATCAAGCATTTTTTTTTACTATCAAACACTAAGAATAGTCGAGCGTTGCTGTCCTACCGACAGCTCTTGTATAAATAAAGGCTGTTTACAATTTACCGGGGTTAATTTAGTTTAACTTTATTTCTTCTGTGTTTTTGGGTAAGAGATTTTTACAATTTGTTAATGGCAGGTACATTAACTATAAATGCTGGCGTATGCATAACAAATATAACAAGTTCATGGAGTTTATGATATTGTTAGAAGCCGTCAATATCTATTTATTTATTGTTTATATTTTTATGTAAATATCAGCGTCATTTTACATAACTTTTAGGTTTTACAAATATTAGGACTATTTTTATTCAAAATTAAGACGATTGGCACTGGACATTTTTAACAAAGTTTAAACTTAGTTTCAGTGAACAAATACTTAACTCTAGCCTGTTTTACATGATGTCACTTAATTTGTCGAAAAGGTCATGATTATTGAATTTAACAATACATGCATGTATAGGATCTTTATGTGTGGTCATTTTATATTGATAAGTCTAGGGAAAAGTTTTATAGGGAATCTGTGGCAGGCTTTGTAACATTCCTGGGTGTATTACACTTGAAAGTTTTAATTGATTGGGAGAAGTTACATGGTTTTGAGGAGTTATCATAAAATATTCATTCTATAACTTTTAGACTAATTTCCGGGACACTTTTCATTTGGAGGTGGGGGGTGGGGGCATTAGCCAGTATATAGTCTATTGAAAGAATAGTTTTTAAGATTTTTAAAGGAAATATATACATGTATGCATATTTGCTGCAGAAAAGTCACTGTGATAAAAAAATTTAAAGTTGTTTTATATTTTTCATAGATGTTACATAATCATGATGGAATAGATATACATTGTATGAACATTTGTTATTTAAGAATCATTAATTATATATTTATGAAGTTTTGATTGTGTGTTGCGTGATAATGCGAAAGATACATTATATTTTTTATAGACAGTCGGTTTCTGTGAATTTGTACAAATGTTTTGTATGGGGCCGTTAGTTGTTTACAATTTGTACAAATGTTTTGTGTGTGGCTTGTAAGTTGTTTTTATTTTGAACAAATAATTGTTTAAATAAAAAGAAACAAATAGGACATGTAATGAGTGATAAAATATTTGCAAAATTTTAGACTCGGTAAGAATGTTAATAATTTGTTTATGCTGTCAGAAAAAAGACTGGGAAGCAAAAAAAAAATATACAGGGGTTTCATATTGACAAGTAGCCGGGTAAAATCGCCCGCAACATGTTACGAGTCAAACAGCTACTGGTAATGTTCCTTTACATTAAGATAGTCATACCGTAATGCTTTCCCGCCAAAAAATTTCTAAAATCGGCCACCGGAATTTAGTACATAGCGATAAAGGATGAGTGATTGTAAATAATCTAATGCCCAAGATTTTGAAAAATAATGTTCCGGAAGGAATGTTAAGAAATTACTTATTATCTTTCAGATACATACATGTATGTGTAATCAAAACTCCTGAAAAATAGTCTGGTCCTTAATCCCTTTCAAAATGGCTGGTTAATTTTGTTTGTTTGATATTAAAATCCCTTCAGACTGACAATAAGCAGGTTCCAAATTCAAAACCGGGCAAGTCCATTGACCAAAATCAGGGGAGAGAGGTAGGAGAATTTAGATCTTAATTTCATCATTTCTTTCCAGAAGCAAATTGCAATAATGCCATTTATCATTACCCTGGTAATACATGTAAATGTATGAATTAACCAATTTGGCCCATATTTGTCATTTTCATCCTTTAATTTAGATATATGCATATTTGGAAAAATGATAAGTGGAAATTTGTTTTCTGTCACTCAATGTCATATTCACACTTGTTTTTTTCTATACTCCATATGTATAAAATGATGAAAGTTGCAAATTTCTATGAAATTTTGATTGATTGAATAAGTTCTAAATTAATTTTTAAAGGCTGTTGGTTTTTATTTCGAGAGTCTTAAATGTTTATCAGCATGTCATCATTGCCATATATATTTTGTGGCATTTCTTGTACATTGCATTTTGACATGTAGGTGATGGTTTTAGTTTAAATATTATCTATGAGTGGACATATAATATAGAATTTTATTAAACAAGTCACAACATTGTCACAAAGCGAGCCTCTGGCAAGTAAAACATTTTCTGGGACAAGTTTGATAAAATTTTTATATCGTATGATAGTGATAATGTGAGATTCTTTTCATCATGTGACTAAACGTACTGAAATTAATGAAAATAAACTTCTTTCGATGTTTTATGCAGCTCCCTATTGTTAGCCGTCTTTCTTATGAAACATATAGGCAAAAATGATGTCAAATCAATGCTATACTTTACATATGTGTCATATGAAGAAATACATAATGGTTACATAAGATAGAAAACAAACATGTCAGGTGATACAATATTTTTATGGCATCTGATGTATTACGATGGAGCATATAGTTAGTTGTCTGTTTGCGTTTCTGTCTTTCTGTTACCGTAGAGTTGCTTACCATTTTTCATAGCATCATAAATTGACTGATATATTAGTTTATAACAAAATGTGTTGGTACCAGGTCAATGGACAACATCCTCTTTTGGTAAGGTGTCAGATCAGTTTGATCATGTTCAAGGTCATTGAAGCTAAAAATAGATTTTATTATTTTTCCCACATCAAAGCCACATGGTTAACTTTGTCAGGCAACCTGTGTCAGTGGTACCCTATATTTGTTTTACAACTTGTATGACCTTTATTTTTGAATGCTAAATTTAAAATTTCAGGATTACTGTTTCATAAACCTTGCAAAAA